AACAAATCCCAAATCCCCTCAGTCAACATTCTGATATTTGTAGGCCCCAAAAGTAATTTTTCCAAGCTCTGGTAAGCATTTATGAGGATAGCTGTTCCCAAATGTCTTGAGATCTTTGCGTTGTCTTAGGGGGGTTGCAGACTGTCAGAAATAGTGCAAAATAGTGCAAATAGTGCTAGGGAATCATGGGAATTGTTTTTTTTCTGAGACATTGAGCCTTCTCTGTCAGAGAGCTCTAGTGCCACAATAAACTACAGTTTCCATTATTCCCTAACCCTAACCCTAACCCTAAAAGTGGACTGAATTTGCCTTCTTGCTTCCAATATTATCACTCAGTGCCTATGGGCTCCTGGTGTTCTTGGGGTGGGAATTAAGTTGGTGATATGCTGGCGCCAGGCAGAGTTGAATTTAGTAGAAGGTAATTTTCTCAGCAGGGAGCTAGAGGGGGAGGCTTGGGTTGAAACTCATGGAAAACCACCCACCCATTACATGCTCTACTGGTCCTTATTTGGAACAACAGTTGACACTGAGAGAGCATCAAGATCAAGAGTGCATGCTCGAAGGAGCTGAAATCTTGACAAGCCAAAGATTTCCCAGCCTCTGCATCTTCTCTAATGGTATAGTTCCTCAAAGAAAGCAGAAGGTGTTGTGAATGCTTTTATATCCAAAGCATCACTCTTTCCTTCTCCTCTGCCCTGCCTGGTAGCCTTGGTGATGTTTCTGCTTTTGTGTTGGAATGACAACTCCCAGAATGCTGGCTGGGGGATTTTGGGTGCCGAAATCCAAAAATAACTTTTCTCTTGCTTTGCATTATTGCAGTATGATGTAATTAACAGACTGGACAAAGAAACACAAACAAAACTTTACCTAGTACTATGGTGTGGTGGTTTGAATGATGGACTAGGACCAGGATTCAAATCCCCATTCAAGCCCACTAGGCAACTTTGGGCAAGTGACACTAAAAAGGAAGGCAATGAGGAACCCTTTTGGAATAAATTTTGCCAAGAACACCCTACAGTAGGCTCACCATAAATTGGAGTGAACTTGAAGGCACATAACAACAACAGCAGCAAGGGCTTCAGAGAGACTATGGCCTTGTCTGCACTGGCTAGGATACTCTGGGGACGTTATCACACGTGGGGTCTCAAAGCGGCAAGAAAGCGGCATGGAATCAATCCAGAACCATACCGGAATGGACCCCACAAGAAAGCAGCATCATTCCGGTATGATTCTTGATTGATTCTGGTCGCGGCAAGTTTAATTCCTTTTTCAAAAAGGAATTGAAAAGAACGGGGATGATGCCACAATGCGCCGGGGATGGGACGGGATGGGGCGGGGTTTGCTGCGATGTCGTGTGAACACACGAAAAAAGGATCCGGAATGATGCCGCAATGCACCGGGGATGGCACTGGATGGGGTGGGTTTTGCTGCGACGTCGTGTGAACACAGAGGCAAAGGATCCGGAATGATGCCGCAATGCGCCGGGGATGGCACTGCTTTAGACCCCGTGTGATAACGTCCTGGGGACAGGCCAGAGTATCCTGGCCACACAGTGGTCCTGACTTCCCCCATAATCTGGCTCTCTGTTCCTATGCCATGGTGGATGTTTGCATGGGTATCCCGCTGGGACATCTAATGTGTCTGCTGCTGCAGGTCACTTGTTCTGAGGTCCTACAAACAGCCGCTGCGGTATGGGAATAGAGGGCTCCAGATCTTTCTGGAAGATCCTGGAAGATCTGGAGCAACAGGTAACTTTTATAAATCTGTCTTAACAAAGGAGTTTATCACATGGGAAGCAAAGCGCCCAAATCCTATGGATAAACGGAGTTTAAATCCTGTGCATATCCTACTAGAGCGGGATTGTTTTCCTGAATTTTCCACAAGAGTGAGATTTTCCCCAAGTTAAAAAGTGGTGCGATTTTGCCACTTTTTGCATGGGTTGATGTTGGGTTAATGCCAAAGTCATCTGACATCATTTGAAAACAATTCTGCTCTTGCGGGATATTCACAGATTTAACCCTGTTTATCCATGGGATTTGGATGCCTCCCTCCTGTGTGATAAACTCCATAGTTATACCCCATGAAGAGTTTGGCCTGTGCATTGTTTGAACACAACAATGCCAGAATGGGGGTGGAGTGGGGAAAAAAGAATGAACCTTTGGCCAGTGTAGAGAAGGCCCATGAGGCAGGATTAAGGCAGTGTCTGAGGAAGGTGATTCTCGCATTGACATAAAAACTGACTGCTCCCCCACGGGATACAGTCAGTTTGCAGGTTGTTACCAGGTATTATTGTATTTAAGGTATTGCCGCTGCTGCCAGGCAGGTGCAACCCGGCTGCATCCTGGGTCCCAGGCGTGCTTTGGAGGCTGCTTTTCCAAGCTGGGAGCTTGCTGTTTTGGAAAAGTGGCCTCCAAAGTGTGTCTGGGACCTGGGATTTCTGCTCAGACCAAAAGGTCACTCAACAGGTTACATGTGATGATGATGAGTGTAAATTGCCTCTAGCTGATTTCTAGAGATGCAGACTTTACAGTTTAAAGACCTTTTTTAAAAAAAACTGCAGCCAGATCCTATTTTGGGGGGTTCTCTGCATGTGAGATTATGAAATGATTGTATTATACAATCCTTGTGTTGAATGGCAATGTTGTGCAACTGAACACATATTCAAATGTGAAACCAAAGGCACATCTGCATGTATAACTCTGCTTCTGCAATGTTTAACAGAATGTGAACTTTCTGCACCAGGTAAAAATGTCCAGCTACTTCTGTAAGATAATTTATTTGTGCATAAGACACACAGGATCCCAACCCACAAATTATTAATACAGATATGAATTATCTGTAGGCTAATAAACTTTGCAGATTTGTTTGGAAGATTGTATTTGCCATTTGAAGCACTTGCTTTGAATTGCTTCTTCGTTGTAGGCATAAAGGTTCTGTGTGCCTAAGGATTCCTGGATGGATGCTCCTAAATTCCAGATGTGGTTAAAGTCTTTGGATAGAGAGGCCTTTGCCCAAATGCCAGTAATACAAAAACATACAATTGCCATGTGCTCCCTTCACTACTGCAGCTTCTAGTTAACACACATGCTATAGACAAAGGTGGGATGTTTGCAAATTTTGATGAAGGAAGAATGGGAGGAGAAATTTTCAAAGATGTAGCCAAAGGAGGAGGGGAGAGGGAGGGAAGAAAAATAAATGTAGCAGCATCTTTAAAACTAACTGGTTTTTATTTTTGCATGAGCTTTTGCAGATATAAACATGCTTCTTTAGAAGCTTTGCACTTAGAGATTTCAGAAATGGAATAGGAGGGATTTTACATGAGCAGAAAAGATGAGGCACAGGTATCCCCACATCTTTCAGAGTGCTCAAATATCCCTGGTTGGCTTGATCTTTTTGGCTAGGTCTCTTTCTTATGACAAAATATCACATCTAACAAAACATGGAAGAATCCTTCTCCCACTGCAGCATCTTCCTGCTCCATAGGAATCTATAGGACAAGAGTGGACATCTGTAAAAACTAAGGGGCTGCACTGGTCCTCCAGGAAACCTTGGTCAGCCACGCTACCCACCACGCCTGTTCCTGACACACACACCCCAATCATTTTGAGAATATATATAGAAAGAGAAAGAGAGGACAAAACTTTTTTGGACCCTGGGTGATCAGAGGAGGGGCTCCAAATGTAGTACATATCCCCCCCACTCCAATTTGGGGGAGCATTTTGGAGCAATTTTTACAATGTTGCCTAGGGGCCAAAACAACAGCCCTGGGGTGCTTCTTGATTTTTTTCTTTTGCAGTTGAAATTTCACATCCCAAATATGGTTGATGTTTGTGGTTGTACATACTTTGTGAATGACTCCTAGAGGATCCTGGCATTCTCTTACATAACTGTATGGTGGTATACATGGCATGCACAGAACTGTGTACTGTATGTCCACAATTCACTTGATCAGGACTAGGGAACCTGTGGCTCTCTAGATGTCATTGGGCTCCCAACTCCCGTGAGCCAAAGTTGGCATGTCATTGGTGATAGATTATAGGGTTTGATGTCAAGCAATGTCTAGACACCTATGGGACTACCCCTGCAATAAATGTTAACATACTGTTGTAAGCAATCTGAATACAAAAATGTTCATCTTTCAATATTTTGAATGGTTTATTAGTCAAATGCATGATTAATTGTCTTTGATGGCTAATCGCTACTCACCCTGTCTGAACTACTCCAATCTACTGGGCTGAGGGCTAAAAATTTTTTGAATGAATGCAAAGAAATCTTGTAGCACCTTTGAGACCTTTGCAGACTGCCAGAAATAGTGCAAATTGAGTCCACTTTAACTGCCCTGGCTCAGTGCTAGGGAATCATGGGAACTGTAGTTTATTGTGGCACCAGAGCTCTCTGACAGAGAAGGCGCAATGTCTCAGAAAAAAATACAATTATTTTTTGGCAGTCTGCAATGGCCCTAAGAAAGAAGCTGGTAGCTTGAGCTTTCATAGATTTGAGACAGCTCGTGCTATCAGCTTCTCTCTTATAGTTAGCTTCAAATGTGCTACAAGATCCTTTTGCATACAGATTTTCCAGACTAACACAGCTGTGTCTTTAAATTCATTTGAATGAAGCCAGTGAAAGAGATATTAGTCTAACTTTTGCACTGAATGGCAAGAAAAATCTTCAGCAATATGCTGTGGCTTTGGGAGAAATAACATTGATTTTCAGACATGTTCTAGGTGCATGTTTGCTTCCCTGTGGTCAATATATAAATTATCAGGTTTGTTTTTTGTTTATGTTTTTTTAAAAATCATATTCCCAGAACCTTCCCTCAACAGGATATCTTGGGTGAGAAAATCATCCCTCATAGTGCGTGTATGTGTGTGTGTGTGTGTGAGAGAGAGAGAGGCAGAGAGAGAGATATACAGAGAGAGAATGTGTGCCTTCAAGGTTTGCCATTGCCTTCCCTTGAGGCTGACGCATATGACCTGGCCATGGTTACCCAGACAGTTTCATGGCTGCGTGGGGAATCAAACCCTGGCCTCCAGAGTTGTAGTCCAACAATAAAACCACTATGCCACACTGGCAATACATTGTATAATATATTGTTCATGGATATGATTCTTCATATCTTTCAGTTTGAATCCAGCTCCATACATGTAGATCATTGTTGTTCAGAACTATGGTCCAACAGCTAAAGACTTGGTTAAAAACAGTCATTTCTTATGGCACATTTCAGAACACAAAACATTTTACAATTCTTTTTATTTTAAAAAAAATATTTTAGCATGGTTTCAGATGCAGATTACAGACCCTTTACAGGCATTCTCCTGGTAAATGGGATTAGATGTTGACCTTCTTCAAAAGTAAGGTGGTATTCTTGGCCTGTCTGAGCTTTATTGGTGGGGCAAAGGAAAGGTTGTACATCTGAATGTAGTCATTTGTTAAAGGGTGACCTTCTTTGTGTGTCAGAGATGCCCCTGTTGTACGCCTCTTCCTTTCCCTCCTGCTTGTCCAGTATGCTCAGTGATATTATCTGGGGGTGGGGAGTGTGACCACAGGTGGGTCTGGCCCACTGCCCAGGCCTTGGACGCTTGGTGACACCAGAGCCTCCTGCTTGCTGCTCCAACCCTGCAATTAGGACAGATCCTAGCTCAACCACAGCCCAAAATTACCATGGGGGCCTCTCGTCTGGGGAGCCCACAGCAGATACGTCACCCAGGGGCCTCTGCAGCTTCCTACAGCCATGGGGGGAATGCCGTTATTGTTGCAGAAGCCCCCTCATTCCTGCGCCTTACAGCCAGCCTCCCCATTTTTGCTCCATGTGAATGGGCTGTCAGTGAAAACACCCCTCTCTGCACCACAAAGTGCATCCTGGAGTGCCGAAGGAGGTGTGGGTTCTGTGTTCAGCTTGTCCTCGGCTTACACTCACACAGAGACAGTCATGTTTCAGTTGGGCTGTCTCTTCACTACTCGAAATAAACAGTTCAGATCTAGGTCCCACCAGGGAATGAGGCCTTCAGATGAGGTGTCACTTTTGTGGCGAGACAGTTGGGGGCATCCAGATGTGAAACCACTGTTGGCTGCATATTGGGGACAAGTGTCCATGCGAGTGGCTGAGTCAAGGCAAAGGACTCATCAACCCTTTCTCCTCTCCCCTCTGAGACACAAGGGTGACAATATGCTTCCAATTTGTGGTGGTGGCCAGCTGGCTTCTAAGTTCTCATCAGTCATCCTTCCTCCCTGAATGGCTGAGGGTTCAATTCATGAAGTAGAGACAGCATGCAAAGGGGTGTGTGTGTATGTGCATGTGTGTAGGCAGGGATAATACGCCCTGTAATCTGCAAATGTTATTGTCTCTCAATTACTTACTCCAATGCTACAAGAATGGACTCACATAGGAAAAAATGAGTCCACCTATGGCCAGTGTGACTCATAGGGAATAGACTTGGAAAGCCTGATAGAATGTGGAAGCAGCCTTTCTTATCTGTGTTCTTGCTAGGGTTCCAAGATTTGAGGGGCTGGTTCAGAGCATGAAGGGGATTCTTAGGGCAAAAGTGCTGTCTTGAAAGATTATGGGTATGGGTATATATGTGTATGTATTTTTCTCATTTGTTAGATTTGGTAGGGGGTTGGTTTGTGGGTTTGTTTGTTTTAGCATACTCTGTGCAACTTCTGTTGATACTTAATGTCTCATGCTTAGTGTCATCAACAAGGGCTACTCTTATAATATTACCTTTGCAACACCCCACTCTTGTCTTGTAGTTGTGCCACGCATAAAAGCAATCTTGAAATGGTATTCAAATTGCAAATAGTGTGCATTTGGAGGTCACACTCTACCCTACACCTGAACAGGGTCCACTTTCTGAGCCTGAAGAAGCATCATTCATGAAGGTAAATCCAGGGCAGGGACCCATTGCACTCTGATTAGCATCAAAATGCTCGCTTATCCATAAGAACGATCAAGCGTTTCCTGATCAGAACGACTCAGAGATGTTTCTTACATCATCTCAAGCTTAAGTCATTAGACACTTTAGTTTGGGGATAAGTAACTGAGATGAATTGAGGGATCACTTTTCTACCCTCAGGGTCCTCTTACAGTTACATGGACTGCAATAAAGGCCACACACACCCAGTCAATGTACCTCTAAGTCACCCATAGTCTAGAGTTTTTGTTGTAAGAAAGTACTAATGAATAAGAAGCCAACACAGAGACAGTGGTTTCAGTGTTGGATTAAGACTGGAAAACCAGGGTTTAAATCCCCACTTGGCTATGGAAACTGACTGGGTGACTTGTAAGTTGCATTTTCTCAGCCTCAGATGAAAGCAATGGCAAACCTCCTCTGAACAAACCTTGCCAAGAAAACGTTGTGATAAGTTTGCTTTAGGCTTTCCATAAATTGGAAACAACCTGAAGGCTCACAGCAGCAACAACTACTGAATTCAGAAAGAATTACTTGTGCATAACATGCATAAGAATAGGAGTTTTGTTTCTTGTTCTTGCTGGACCCAGAACCATCCTCATGCATTGCTTCAACACAGTGGGAGGACATTTCATCCTTTTCCCTTGTCTTTTTAAAGTGTTTTGAGGACTAGGTGGCAAAGATGGTAGAAGAAGCTCCATCCCTAGGCAGATACACACATTACTGGAACATATCTTCAGGCCCTGAAGAAAATCACCTCTACTGCCTCAGCAATGGGTTTGCCAGATTGAAAAGTGCAGAGAGCTTCTGTACCTTTAATGGTTGTGTGAGAGAAGGAACTTCAACCAGGTAACAAGCAATACTTGCTGAAACTCCCTCTTCCAAATAGCCATTAAAGATACAGGAACTCTTTCCATTTTTTAATTCTGACAACCCTGCTTGGCATAGCAGTATTCCTTTTACCTGTATTTCACTTTACTGGTGATATGTAAAAAATTCTGTCATAGCATTATATTCAGGGTATGGGGTGGGGGAGCAGGTATGCTATGAGTGTACAATGAAAAGGAGCAGCAAATGAATGTGTGGAAATTAGATTCCCATGTATGACCTCTGTGTTTTTGAGTTGGGTTTCAGTAAGGCATGTTGTGGCAGAAGTATAAAAATGTGTGTGTGTATGTGACTATATAGATGAAAAAAATGAATGTTTATTTTACATGTTTATGAATATTCATATACATACAAGTAAGGAGAAAATGGGATGATTAGAGTGGTCAACAAATTAAATATCTTTTGTAGTGTAATCCTATGACTGTTTTCTACAGCTTACTCCCAAATAACAGCCACATTTCAAGGGCAAACCAGATCTAGTTCCTTTCACCCATTGTCCATTGAGTGTAAAAGCTAAAATATAATACAGTATATTCCTTGAAGACTATGATCCTTATCGCACAAGAAAAGAAAGCAGAAACAAAGCTAGAGAGTAGCACTTTCTCCATGCCTTATTGCATGACATTGTAGCACTTCAGTTCTCTTCCTGCGGGGTTGTCAAAACAAATCTTTTGTCAAACAGATTTTTCTAGCTAGACAAAAGAGATGCAGTTTTACAACTGTCTCCTGTGGGAAGAGAACTGAAGCACTATGAAATCATGCAGTAAAGCACAGAGAAGGGCACTACTCTCCGGCTCCATTTCTGCTTTGTTTTCTTGTGAGATAAGGCTCTAAGATACTGGAATGAAAGCTGGCCTGTGCATTCAGGTAACATTTATACGTTTCATGATCAAACTCAAGTTCCACTCTGCACCCATTTCCAAGAAGGCCAGGAACAAGCAAGGTTCCTGATTGTGCAGTTCTCATTAACAAACCAATTAAGCCCATTCAAATGTGATATTTCAGTGACAGTGATGTCTTAGTGGTTGTTGAGTTTGGGGGGCAGGAGTGCAGAGCAGGGAGATGAGAGAGGTGGAGCAGAGTGCCTGTGGTGTATCAGTGTGCGTAGGCCTGTGCTGTATGCAAAGGCATGCTTGTGAAAGTGTGTTTTAAGCATGCACGCTAAGACATCAGAGAGCCATGTCAGTCCTCTTGGACTGAACGCTGGTCTTCCCTCACACTCCTTGCCCGCATGCCGCAAATGCCACAGGTCCTGGCACAGCACAGACCACCCAGTCATTGGAAGAGAGGTGGGTGGGCAGGTTGCCCGGGGCCTCCCCCACCTCGGAAGCTCTGCCGTCATCCTCCTCGTGGCTTTGGCAGTGGGCTCAGCCTCGACCTCCCGGCTCACTGTGGAGCAGCTTGGGCAAGAGATCGAATGGTGTGTGGATGTGTGTGTGTGTGTGTGTGTAGAGCCAGTGGGGCCTGCTGAGTTTAGCCAAGGCCTCCACCTCAGAACCTCTTGGGTTGGCAGCTCTGCTGTCTGTGGCCGGGTCACTGGGGGAACAGGAAGTCTCTCCGCCCGGCCTTCCCTGTTGCCATAGCAACTCAAACATGTGCTACCTGACACAATGCTGGTTCCCATTTTCTGTTGGAAGTGGCTCAGAAGGAATGGTTACACTTTAAGGCAAACAGTGGCCCTTACGTCCATGCAAGAACCTTCTCGCAAGAAGGGGCAAGAAAGCAGTCCATTTCCACAAGTGCGCAAGGTGACTGGGGCTGCTGCCTCTGGAGGCAGGGCTTCTGCATTTTTAACAACTGAATGACTGGCAGAAAGGCAACAGGTGCAGCTTTTCTGCCTCCGAGACTGATTGGCCTCCCATTTGAGTTTTCTGCCTGCCACAAAGATGTTAAAAATGCCCTCCAATATTTCACAGAGGAAAACCGGGCAGGGGTGTTTCTACTGGGATGCTGGGAGTGCAGGCCACACTGTGTGACACTTCAGAGCACACCGGGTGACACCTCAGAGGGGAGTGTGTGTGTGTGTGTGTGTGTGTGTGTGAGAGAGAGAGACCTTGTGCACTTGTGGAAATGGATTGCCTTCTGGTGCATACTTCACACTTCTCCACTGAAGGTCCTGGGACAGACCCAGTCCACCTGCCCAGAGAGACTGGTCAGATGGTGAACTCCTGGAGGCCACTCCCATCGCTGAATGGTGCCTGGACCCCTTTGGGACTTGTGAACAAGGTGGATAGACAACGAGAAATACAGACTGGGTATCCTTTTGGGTGCCCTGG